TTCGTTATTTTTGTACTTGTTACACCCAAACATGTCACCGCCCACCTGGCTCCAATTAAGTTGTTGAAACAAATGTGTTGCAATGGTAGAAAAAAAATTTTGTGTTCTGAAAACTGTAGGTACTGGGGGTACTTATAACTTTTTTTAAAAGGGATACTTTATAAAAAAAAATAAAGGTTGAGAAACACTGCTCTAGAAGTCATGTGCTGGATCTGGGTCTTTCCTTAATATGTCGCTTCAGCTTTTTCCACGGTGTGAATTCCACCGTAGCGGGCATGGTCCAATTTGGCTCCACAGCCGCAGAAGCCAGTGTATATTTCCCTCTCCCCTCTTTCCCCACTGCCCCTGACATCTTCAAACAGACAACCCCTTCCTCTGATTCTTCCCAGGCCAACTGCCATATGTGCCCCATCCTGCTAGGGCAGAAATCACCAGAGTCACTGAGCCTTTCTAATCTGATAAGGTCCAGATTCCTTCAGGACAGCTGAGGTTGAGAGAAAGTACATGAGAATGGTCCCCATGGCCTGAGAAGAAGTCTAGCTGATTGGCATCTTTAAAGTGAAGTCGTCATCTAAAAGGAGAACAGAATGGACCCATCATTCTGTTATACCGCCACTGCATAACTGGGGAGAAGGGAGGAGAAAGCTCCATCAATTGCCAACCCCTCAGTCCACCTACTGCCACAAAATAGATTCTGCCTCCCCTCCTTCCAAAAAAATGTAGGATCCCTGGTCTCAACTTGTACATTGGAGCATCACTGGTCTCGCTGCATCTTTAAAGAGGAGTAGATAGGAGGAGAGATACAAATGAGATTAATGTAAGGCCATTTTAAGAGTCAGGGAGTGGGCTGATATACAGGCACTTTACTAGCCTGTCTGAGGTGAACTCAGAAGTCAAGAGATCCACTTAGAGCACGTGGAGACCATGTGCCCATGCTTCACACCTAAGTGTCCACTCAGCAGTGAGTTTAATGTCTTTGTTTATTGTCTTCATTTTGCTTATACAAAAACCAAAGCTCTTGTTCAAAAAGAACAGGCAGATTTCTTATAAAACATGCAGCTTTGTAAAGATTACCTCCATATGTGTTAATGGCCAATTGTAATCATAAAACCAAATGTGCTGTCACGGGAAAGCTCCATATGTAGATCATTTGAAACATGTGATACTTTGAAACAATACACAAATGTCTGAGTTGCTGGTTGTTTGGTGGCCAGAGGCTGTGCTGCAAATGGACTTGTCCATAGCTTTCACAGCCTGATTTGGTGCAGGGAGTGGTAACGTAAGCTCCCCGCCAGTTATATGATTTTGAATGTCCTGCCTTGACATCTTGCAAGCAGTAACATGTAAGACGACATTTTTTAACCCCTAAAGTGAGATCCGTGCTTGTAAGCAATGCCAGATAACTAGCAACTGAAGTATTCTATGTGTATGCACAGAAGGTAGAGCAAGATCAGAGGACACATAAGATCTTCCTTAAGATTCTAGTCCTGAAACCTGATCTGACAGGTAGGGGAAAGGGTGTGTAAATCTCATTCGGGATCATGTGGGTCTTGACTTCACCCATGAGACTGCCAAGTGTGCCGATTTTATTGGGGGTTTTGGAGATGTGACTGCCTGTCCACTAGAACTGGGCTAAGTTCATGCACTCAGAAACTCCAGATAGCTGTTACATGATAATGATTTTTCATTTCTTTTAACCTGGGATCTATTATAACAACTGAATTAGAAGTGAAAGTTACTCCCTATCCTGTTACTGCAATCCTCAAAGCAATTAAATCATCCAAATGCACAGATATTATGTACAACTCTCCTGCACGTTGTGTATGTGTTGTGAGATGTGAGGCCAAAGGCCAAGTTCCTTTATCCATATGAGAAACATGGATGACTTTTATGACTACACTTTGATATGAGTCCCTTGTTCAAACATATTTAAAAGGATTAGCATTCATGTTAAAGGCCAGATTGACAGCACTGAAACTGAAGTATTATGGGCTGTATTTTGGCATGTTTTTGTTACTGTTAATCTGCTGAATTTTTGCTTGTGCTGACTTAGATAGTTTTGTTGTAATTCTTCAGGAAACTTAATTTCCTGAAGAAAAATTGTTCCTTCAGGCTAAGTGAATAGCAGAAATGTTGTAGGGGACTTTTATTCATGTGACTTCAGTTTATGATGGTCACCTTACTCAGCCTATGGTCTTCAAAGATGGATTTAATCCCAGTCTTATAGTTAATCCTTCTGCAATCTGGGAATCAGATTTTCCACTGACAAAGACAAATGAAAAGGTTCTCTGCATCCCTTGTTCGTAACTGAATGTGAAAGATGATTGTATATTTCATTTCACATAAGGAATTCGCAAAAATCCCAAGCATTTCAAAACTAGGTGACTAAAATTAGGTTCCTAAATCCATACGTAGATCCCAATTCTGCAACTGATGCCACACACACAGTCCAGAGTCCATATTGAATCAACATAGGCACATGGTCTTACCCACATAATTATGTGTCCTGCATTTCATATATGCTGAGCGGCCAGTAGCTCCAAGATTCACTACATCAGAATGCAGTCTTGCCCCAATGAAGTCAGTGTCATTCATAGCCAGAATTTCACTCTATTTGGGTGTAAATTGATTTAGCAATCCTGTTTTGAAAATTGGGACCAAAATCTTTAAAATCAGTGCATGAAGCATAAAGCTGGTACTTACGATATTGATTTGTTATACCCTGATTTGTTTCTGTTTCTGTTGTAACATGAGGCATTTTGACTTGTAAGAGGTATTTGGAAAAGTCAATCCAGAAACCTTCTGATGGGAGTTAACAAACCTCGCAGGAAAAGTCAGAATGTTCAGCCCTTCCTCACATTGGTGGGCACTTACTAAGACAAATAGTTGCATGCCAGTGGTTCATCTTAAAGAAAGGAGTGCTCAGTAACCCAAGGAAGAGTTGTACATTCAGGTCCTAAGTTTTTAGATATGAAACAAAATGTACCAGGAAGTCTGCTTTCTCCTGTGTGAACGAGGCAGCTTTAGGGTAAAATATTACTTCAGATGAAGAAGGTAGCTTGAACATTTTTGCCTCAGGGTTCAGCCTGCATATGCCAAACTTCCCCCAAGAGCGAATATTTATGGCAAAGTTAACCCCCCACACACTTCCCCTTGGCAAGTGAACATATAAACATAGCGGTTTGTGAAAGAAAACACTGTTAGTGCCATTAAGGAATTGACAGTGTAAGTCATTGCGCTGCGATCTTATGAGCCATGGTCTAAAACCAGCTCCTCTCCCTCAACTCTGGCTGGTAGCAACAAGTTGCAGCAGAGCTACTATAAGCATTCCCCCTGAGCAAAAGGTCATGTGCTTGCAAAGCTAATGCTCAGCTGCTAGCTGGTGAGCTAAAGGCAATAACTCTTCAATTGGCTGATTTTCATGCCACTTGCTTTGTATAATTTATATTTTTGAAGTCATGAAAGGTCTCCCAAAAGAAAAGAAAATGAAAAATGCCCCCCTCCCCTCGCGTATCTAGTATGATTCTAATTATGCTCCTTTCACTAAGACACCTTAGTAGTGGTTTGAGACAGCTGCCGATGTTGTTGGTGTTGCATTCTGCATGCTTTGAGAATAGTTGGATGCTTCCCAGTGGTTTCAGAAAAGGGTTTCAACCGCAGCCATCTTCTTACAATGCTAGTAAATCAAGCTAATATAACAAACTTTGGACCTGATTCTTGTTCCCACTGAATCAGTGGCTAAAGTCCTCTTGACTTCAGTAGGATAGCATTTGGCAATTTTAACTTGGATATTTTATATTAAGACTGTTGTTCTATGCCACTGAAAACTTTTTTTTTCACATTAACACCATTCATTTTTCTTGTGACACTAAAATATCCTAACTACATATATTAATATACTACCTTTACACAAATTAAAAAATCCATAGAGCATCCCTATAGAATTTAAAAAAGAAAACCCTTGCAATCAGAAAAGTGAGTGGAATATGAGAATATTAAAAGTTTCATGGCCATTTGTGGTATTTCTGGTCAAGTGATGTCTCTTTTGCATATAACATGGATAATGACACTCTTTAGTAAGTCAGATGGAGAACTAGAGCAACTCCTAAGAAAGAGAAACTAAAAGAGAAATTATTTTAAAATTATATATAGATGTATTATTTGAGGGGAGTGTAATGTAGTTAATGAGCTTATAGTTGGGATGTGGTTTAGAATGGGGCTTATGCATGACTTGTAATTTTCATCTGATCTCTGGGTAAAAAATATATGTTTCTTGCAATGCTAATGATTCCTCTTTTTTCCGTCAACGGACAATTCGTATACAATCATCTTGTAAATAAAATGTTTAACCTCTAAAAAGTTGTAAACTTTATCTTGGTTATTTTGTATTAGATTTATTTTTAAGTTGGTGGTTTACATCCTTAATTTTCTTGTTAAATAGGTGCCTTTGAAATTCCTGTCAGCTTTTCAAGCAAAATATTTTATTTTTGGCTTTTAATATTATTACATCATACCACCTAGATTCATTTTGTGTGGTGCTTTAAGCGAAGTGACATAGTTTATTGCAAAATAAATTGCCTCTTGGTATGATATGGGGAAATAGCTTACACAAGTGTCTGTGGGAGTAGCACCACAGCAGCGCTGAATTCTAGGTCTAGAAAAGAAAGGGACAGTTTTATGAATTTTTTAAAAACGAATCACATGGAAAACGAATCAATGTATTAATAATCCCTTTGTGATAACATCAGTATAAATTTAAATATCCTGGATATTTAAACACTTTAACTACTGTAAACAGTGCATATAATTGCAGCATAATTACTCATTTTCCAAAAGATTTTATGTGAGTAAGATGATTTCTCATGTAGTGGCTGAAGTAATTTTTTTTCTTTCCATTTCTAACATTTTTGGGTCTAGTGTTTTGGGGCGACTTATCTTTTTCTTTTCCGCCTTCTCTATTTCTATCCCATTGCATGCTTCTTTCCTTGGTTTGGTCTCAGAGAGGAGGAGGAGGATGAAGAGGACGAGGAACAACCAGTCACAGAGCCTAATACTGAGGATGAGTGGGAGGAAGAGGCCAGTAGGCAGGTCAAAGCCAGGTACTGGGGTTCAGTGTCCCTCCCCTCACATTTCCTGACCTCACCTCCAATATTTGTAGCATGAATTCACCTTACTGATTTATAGTATACAACTATCCTTGAAACCATAGTCATACTTTTCACTATAAAAACATACCTTAGAACAAACCTGTTGACTTGGCAAAGCCTTGTTCATATTTATGGAATTATCAAAATGCATTTAATTATAAAAATCCAATGGGCTGCACATTAGATACACTAGTTCAATTCAGGAGATTTAACAGGCAGAGCTGATGATGGAATTTAAAGCAGGTGCCTAATTTAATCTCTTTCAGCAAAGCTATTCATCACATGCTTTGCTGCAGTACTTTGCTGCAACTCCTATGCACCTCTTCCTGAACATCCTTTGTTAGTGTTTCCATGATCCATCATCAGACAAAAATGTGTCTTTTTCATTATAGTAATTCTTTTTATGAATCCTTATGTAAAAATATTACCGTTTGTGAAATATTGCCTGCTAGTTATTTTAGAATTTTAAAAATTTGTATCATAGGGGAAAAATACTTAACTGAGAGACAAAGCTGGACACAGACATGTATTTGTGTGTGTATATATATAAACAAATTATAACTATCAATATTCCCTGTTCAAATGTTATATTTTCCATTTATTTCCTGAGGTTCATATGGATTTGGCCAGTGGTAATTTTTTCCTAATAAATAAATCAGAAAAAGAAAATATGCTTTCTCTTCTAGACAGCCATTTGATTTAAGTTAAAATGTTTGGCTCTGCAATTCTGCAAAATGAGATTGGATATATATATATGTAATTTTTTTTGTACTTAACCGCATTCATACAGTCTTGTACAGCATTGAAGGAGGAAAGGAAACTCTTTAATGTGCAAATTCCAAAGAAAACACTGTAATGTTGTTATTAATGTCTTCCAGTCTGCAAATCTAGCCAATGGCCTTCTGAAAATTTAAAATTAAGTGATAATTTCCTCAAATCCAATGCTTAAAAACTCAATTATTTAATTAACTGAATATTAAACAACAGCACGTAAAGAGGTGTAATTGAAGAGTCATGTATGCACTGTTTTGTGCATATGTAACTTTCATATTTTAAAAATAATATCTACTTTGATACAGCTAGAGTGATGTTTCAGATCATTGTTTACAAAATTACTCTTTAACTGCCATTGTAAAGTAACTGGTTGGGACCCGTGCTCTGGAGATTTATTCCAGGCCACTTTGTCAGGGATTGTGGGAATATATTGATCTATGGCCAGGTGATTCTTATCTGGCACAGTAGATGAATGTTTCTAGGTTTCTGAGGATGTTGCTCCTATGGGAAGTTGAGCTTCAAAAATTCAAATTGTTGCTCTAGTCCAGTCAAGTTGGTATCTTAACTATAATTTATGACAGCAGATTTGGGGTGAAATAGATGGATGATAATAGTTCATAATTCTCTATGCAAATCCTTTCTGAAAAACTCCCTTTGATTTTATGATTATCCATTCAAAAATACAGTAATCAATGTTATCTGCAGGGTGAAATCCACTCCTTTCTCAAATCCTGAATACTCAGGTGCCACACAGTTGGAGTTCAGAGTGGTAGGAGTGGTGAAATCCACCCACCAATCTGGTGACCCAGCTCAAGGCTGCAATACTGGCCCCCATAGTTGCTTTTCCAGACTATGGGCTCTGGTTATCAAGACTAACAGACCTGCTCCAAGGCAGCTCCCATGGTTCTTTGCCCATCCTGCCTCTGGTTCTACTTTATAACAATAACAGTAAGCTAGGCAGGACCAAAGCAAAGACCCCTTTCTACTGCCCTCAGTGCACAGGAATCTCTGCACAACTAATCTGCTTGTAATACCCTCATGCAGTCCCTATGTAGTGATTACATTGGATGGAAGCCTTGTACTGGCATTCAGATAGTGAGAACGGTCATGAAAGTACCTATAGAGGTGCATAAACACACTGATGGCAAATGGCTTTTAAAACCACTGTAGGGTTTTGTTTTGGTAGAAGAAACCTGGCTTGGGTCATTTGGGGCTTCATCTTTGGTAAATTAGTTTTATATAACACTACCTGGCTCTCTCATAGCACTTTGTGTCAGTAGATCTCCATGTACTTCTATAATAAAATGTTAGAGGGCTAGCAGTGTTAGTCTAAATCCATGAAAATAACTAGGATTCTGTGGCACCTTAAAAGTGAACAAGATTTATTTGGGCATACGCTTTCATGGGCAAAAACCTACTTTATCAGATCTGACTAAATGGGGTTTTGCCCATGAAAGCGTATGCCCGAATAAATCTGTTAGCTTTTAATGTGCCACAAGACTCCTCGTTTTTATAAAAATGTTGTATCAGAATACAGGATGGTCATTAGACTTTGGCACACATCGTAAATTATCTGTTGGGCCAGATCATCCAGTATAGTAAGGCTGCTTTGGGATTTATTTGGCCACTTGAGGATAGTACAAGTTGAACCTTTCTAATCCAAAACTCTGATCTGGAAATATCTGTTGTGCAGAATGATTTTAGTTAGTAGGATGTCCACTTTTCATGTGTGTGGCCAAGTTTCCCATGGTCCTGTTAAGTTTGTTTACAGCCTCCAGTCCTAGCTCTGTGTTCTGTGTTGTTATTTAGCTCTAATTTACCCCTAGATATCTTCTAAGAGCCAGTAAGCAGTGGAAGTGCTAGTAATGCTGCTAGACAATATTGACCTCCCCTGGTCTGGAAAATTGTCTGGTTCAGAACCGATCAGGTCCCAAGAGCTGGACTAACAAGGTTCAACCTGTATAGAGACCTGTAGTGGAAAAAAACTCATAAAAACTAGATTAAATGGTTCTGAATTTTCATGGGTTAATACCCTTTCTTTCCTCTAAATCAAATCTGAATATTCTGCATTATTTTCCAGTCCTAAGAAGAATCCCCCTGGTATACAAAGCTTTGAGTTTTTGCTAGCTTTTTAACAGTGATGGCAATTGGCTACATTTAGGAAGTTTTTGTTTTTATTTTACTCTTCTGGATTTCCCCCCCTAACTATATGATCTTTGATCCCCTCTCTCCTTATCTTGCTTTGCCTTTTCTCTTGTTTCCTCCTCACCACACCTTCCCTTGCAGTGAAGTCTCAGATGTGTACCAGGTTGCAAATGAAAAGCTGCGGAATGAGAATCAGACTTCTGATTCTTCAACCGTCTCAAGTACAGGTTCTCAAGCCGAGAGGCCTCTCCACTGCTCTAAATCCAAGAATCCATCCAGCAGCTCATCTTCAGTGCCTGATTCATGTGTCTCACACCATTATTCTGTTCATTCATCATCATCCTCTCCTGCATCAGTCTCACTTAACTCCTCCCAAAATTCATCAGCATCTATTACGCCAAAGGCATCTCCAACTATAGAGAAATTGCCTTATGTACCACATAGCCCTTTTCACCTTTTCTCCTATGACTTTGAAGAGTCTCCAACAACTGTTACAGAAAAGGAAGCAGAAGTTATGAGGGAAAACAGGTAGATTTTACACCGCTGGCATTAATATTTAGATGAATTAATAGCACCTTTCTAAAGTTGTATTGTACTGTTTACATGCTTTTCATGTTGCATTGTTTCTAGAACATACTGCATTAGTTTTAGTCTTGTAATACTATATTTTAACTTGACTGATTCTCCCTCCTTGGTCTTTCATGCTGTTATTTCATCCTGTGTCTCTTCAAGATACATAGTGAATAGATGGTATTCTTTAAGTGACATTAGAAAATCATGGTAAAAACATCTTTGGAGGAAAACGCTTATGGGCATCAGTTTTGCTTCATTTATAGATATAATTTGTAGCAGTAATTTCCAGGAAATCATTGGAGTTATACTGATGTAAAATGTGTGTGAGATAAAAATCAGGCCCTAGAAATTTTAGGGTGAAATCCTGATTCCACTGACGTCAATGACAAAACTCTCATTGATTAAAATGGGCAGAGGATTTCACCCCCACTGTTATAGCATTGCACTGCTTTGGTATAGACACAGCTGTAGCTTTTGTTTCTGCAGTTTCATATTGTATGTCACAAAAGATACATACTGTATTAGGTTTAATCCTGAAAAGCCATTAGATACGTGAAATTAAGGAAACAGCCACACTTTAATTTAAATTTCTAGCTACACACTGGAATGAGATTTAATAAGCCACTTACAGTATTATAGGCTTATAAAAGAATTGATCATTTGCAACACTTTGAGGTTTAACAGTTGATTAGTGGTTTTACTGCCCTTACTGAGCTTAGTAGTAAATCCTCAATGCACATGTTTTCAATAAGCAATTGGTAAATATTTTGCATGTAGTAAAAGTCTTACTAAATAAAATATTTAGGTTTATTTGGATTGCTATTTTGTTATGCAAAATAATTATGTTTGACAAGTTACTGCCCATTCTTATCCCTTATTTAGCTCTCTCTGTTGTATGATACATACTAAAAGTTATGCAGATGTTTATCTTTGTAGTGGGATAAGGGGTTGATGATCTTCAATTTCATACTCAGGCTGAGCTCATTGCCTTCTGACAGACTGCAGAACCTTTGATGCTAAGGACTCTCTTCATTAGTTTACTCTGTAGCCCCCAAAGCACTCTAAAAAGAACTGAGTTTTACTTTTCCACAACTCAGCACTTGGAACTTAGAGAGCACTTCCCTTTCTCAAAGGATTTTTCCCTTCCCTTTCACAGGGATCATATAACCCTCACAGTACCCCATGAGAGAGCTGTAAGTAGTATTATCTCGATTTCTTAGTTGGAAAAATCAAGGTAGAAAAGTTGTTACTGGCTCATGACCCCCAATTTAATCTCTATCAGACTGAAGATCAGTGACAATGTTAGGCCTATGTGACCAAAGAGGCTCTGCGCTATACAGGCACATAATCTCAGAGTACTATTTCCATTTCCTAGTCTATTCTCTTGCCAGAGCTGTTACAGAGGTTATATTCCCAAACTTGTCCTTTCATTTCCCTTACAAATAGGGGTTTGATAGTGCTTTAAGACATTCACAGTATTTGTGGAGATGAGGATATGGAGAGGAAACATGATACATTCTGTTCAAAACAAGGCCTCTCCCATAAAAGATTCCTAACTTAAATGTATTCTAAGGATATAAATCCTGCCATGTCAATCAGTACTTCACATGGCAGCCCAAATGAAATGTGGACATTTGTATAAATCAGTTTTCCATAAGCAAATGATTGGGGTTAATCTGAGCTGAAACAGGCACGTAAGTTTCCAAGTAACACACGTGAAAAAAAATGAAATTGTGCAGTACTAGCATTTTGAGAGGGGAGAGGTGTGAATTATATTTAATATTGCGAGTGGTTAAAAAGAAAATGACAATGTGCTTTTCTTTCATGGAATTTTGACATTTGGGTGGGTTGGCTTCTTGGAATAATTTAACTACCATATAGCGTAGGCTCCGAGTGGAAAAGGTACATCTCTTCCAAAAAGTGGAAAGAAAGGTTTAAACTTTTCCAAAGCCAGCCTCCCTTGTGTACCCATGACATGTCAGCTACAAATGCTCCTGGGGCAGTTAAAAGACACATGAAAGTTGTGGACCTGCCTTTCCTGCTCAGTAGAAAAGCCAGGATGAAAACATTGATACTAGGGGCTCTGGGGAGGTGACCATTCCTGGAAACAATTTCTCTTTGATCAACAAGCTAACATTAAAGTCAAGCATTTTTTTAATGGAGTGAATGGATGGTAGAAATTCCTAAAAGACATGTCTTATTTAACTGGGGCTATCATTTTTTACAGACATCATAAGAAATGACACTTAAGTGATGACTTATGTTGGGGAAAAATGGGTGGAGAAAGAAAATACTTCATGTTTTAATTGAAAAGAATTTGAATGCTTTTCATTTATAGCATAAACATTAGCCAATCATTTGATTCCATGTCCTGACAATATCTGGGGAATATTGGGGTTTTCCTTTATTTCACTTGGAATGAATACTGCTGACACTGATCTTTTCAGTTTCTTTCCTGGTGGTAGATTATCAGCTCCCAAACCAGCTAATAAATTTCTAAGTAACTGAGCAGTCAATTAAGTATTCCAGTGAACAGCTGTCACTTTAAAGGAACATTGTAATCCTTCTTTGAATCTCCACACTAGCATTTTAAAAAATACAGTATTAAATCTGTTCTTGTTATGGGTTATATTAAAATGAGATGATTTGCTACTTTTTCTAAGTTGGGGATGTGGCTGGCAGTTCATGCAGTTCTGAGGTACAACGTTCTTTAGTCCCCAGCTACGAATAAAAAGGATATGCTGTCACATGGTTTCTTGCTGACTGATTTTCTTTCTTTCTCTCTCCCTTTCTCCTCCTGTTTCCTGTTTTTCCGGTACCTTTAGAAACAGTAGCTATGGCAACAACTCTTATTCTTCTACAAGACCTTATTCTGGACTAAGTGCACCTACAACACCTATTTCTCGTTATGGGACAAGTCTGTCACCACCTCAGGAGACCAAATCTGAAAGGTTTGTAAGAAACATCTTGGAAATTAAATTTTCATTTTGTGATTATCTCTATATAGAGAGGAAGGGGAAATTAGAGTTCATTGTGTCTGAATTTTAAATATTTATCCTAGTCGGATCTAGATCTATCACCATTCTATTGCTGCTGCTTCCAGCTAAAATTGTTACAAGAGATTTTAAATACAGATTGGACCACTCTGGTCCAGCACCCTCAGAACCTGACCAGTCTCGAATGAGGGATTTTGTTGGAATAGGGGTGGTCACTTCTGGCACCCTGGCTGCCAGCCCATTCCAGCCCTGCCCCATTTGCTGCCCTCCCAGCTGGTTCCCCCCTCTCGCTAGCCCCGCTGCCCTTTCAGCCCCTACCCACCCCCTCTGCTCACCGGGCTCCCACTGCTGCAACAGGCAGGCTTGCCTCCTGTGTGTGTACCAGGCTCCTGCTCCAGTGCCTGGCAGCCCCGCTGCCTCTGAGTATTGGGTTCCCACTCCAGAACCTGGCTCCTGCTGCTGCTCTGGGCAGCCCCGCAGTCCTGCTGGGAAGCCCCGCTGCTCTGCCAGTTTGCAGGGCTCCCGGGCGCTAGCCCTCCAGTGGGACTCTCTGGTCCTGGAGCATCCATGGTCCTGCTGGACCAGGGATGTTGCCAGACCAAAGAGTGCCTGTTAAGAGAGTTTCAACCTGTACTTGCAAGGCTGTTTAGATCAAATTTCATTTCTCCCAATTTTTAAAACATCTTACACAATTCTTGTTTCCTTTGCACTGATGCAAATCAAGACTAACTTCATCTAAATCTAAGATCTCCAAATTTCCCATTGGATAATTTTAGCCCTTCATTTTCTTGAAAATGTTTCATTTATCTTCCTGCTTTTAAATCACAAGCAAAAATGTTTTCCAGAATAAGTCAGGGGGAGACATACTTAAATACCAACTAATTTGTAAAAAATTCAGTCTATGAGCTATCAAAATATCATGGTGAATTATGGTCCACCAAAGTATGTAGAAAAAATATAGAAAGAAAGAATGTTATGGATATGTGCAAGAAATGCCACTTGGCCAAAGGTTTAGACCACCAGAAATTATCTGACTGTTACTGCTTTAAAGCAGATGACAACTCCAAAGGATATCATGCTGGGTTAAAGAGGGAGAGGTAGGAGATTTTAATTATGTTGCTGTCAAGACTGGTCAACCTTAAATAATTTCCAACAGAGCTTGATGGGCTCAGATTTACATGTTGCCAAATTGGCCTCTAATTCCTCAAAAGCTTTCTGTATGTAGTAGCTTGCAGAGGCCTAGTTTACCCCAAACCTCAAGTTTAAACTTGGCTGTTAACCAAAACAGAGGCTAGGTGCAGACTCTTGCTCCTTGGTGAAACTTTTTACTAGATGCTTGTACCTGTGCTTTAACATACCAAAGTATTTTCTCCAGGATCTTTTCTGTATATGCCACAGAATTTTCATTTCCAGGTCATCTTTTGAGTGTAAATATTTTCTCTTTAATTTTCCTTGATGCTCCCTTCGTTATATCTTTAATTGCTTATTTCACTGAATCTTTCCACCATCTGCTGTAAGTGGTTCCATGGTGTGTAAATATTTCCAAGCACAAGGTATTGATTTAATCCTGCTTTCAAGTGAATAATTACATTAAATTTACCCATGGTGAAAGGCACAATTTTTCATTTCGTTCATCTTCCCAGAGCAACTTGACTGAATTTATCATTCCCAGTCTGGGTCAAATCATTGTCATATAAAACCAGAAAAAAAGACTCCAAACAACCCTTGTCATTCTTTTACCTCTCAGAAACATAGATTCAAATCAGCCTATTGCAATTCTTTTTAGGTTTTTGATTAATAAGCTTTTGTAAGAAAAGTTGTTTATGTTCGTCAGTTGTTTGTTGAACAGGTTTCATAAGGAAAGGTGATATTTGTCTTGCGTATATAGCAGATGTTGAGATTTGGGCCGTGAAAAACTTCTGTTTCCATACCTGAAACCAGGTCTAATTTGGAATTAGGGCTCTATGTAACAGTCACCCTCTGAGGCCTTGTCTTGTCTAGGAAAAGTGGTCCCTATGTGCTTGTGCTTAAATTACACATGCTAGCTCAGTCTGGCCCTAAACTAGACTTTTTTCCCAGTACAGAAACAGAGTAATGCCTTTAGCTTGATTTTAGTAGGTTGAATTGTGCCTTAGGCACCAACGCAGACTACTTCAAGGAGTTAAAAGCAGCATTTTTGAGTGCAGCATAAAGCAGTAAATTGCTGCTAAATGGGTTGAATGCAAACATTTCGCAAAGGGAACATCCCTTTGTTTCTGTCCTGTAATTACGTGTGTATTTGTGTCCATATATATTATATGTAGGTCTTTAAAATCAGGCTACTCTAGAGTCAGCAATATACCCATTTATACCATTGGAAAAAAGGAAATTACTCTATTTGCCAATGGGACAGAGCTCACTCTACTCCCGGAAGGTCCAGAGGCCTTTATTAATTTTAACACATCCATGCATAAATGTTGTAATTTAAACTATATCTCTAGAGCTTCTAGAAATAGAATCAAGCCTGGTCCCTTTTGGAAATTGAGTTATTTCCTGGAATATTACCTGTGATGAGTATAACTTGGGTTGGGAGGAAAATAACTCTATCAGAATATATAAAAAAATAATAATAATAATGTGGCCCTTTGAAGATCCTCATGAGTTTGAAATGTTAGAAGTAGACCTGGGGCAGCATGCAAGTGGTTCAGAGTATGTGATGAATTCATTTTATCTCCTGGCTCTGCAATTCATCACATGGATGTCTCTTCTACATATGGCATGTGTATATTATAATTTCAGCCATAAAAGCAACAGTCAGCCCTTCATTTTCTTCTTCAATATGAGCCATGATTACATAGGTCAAACTTCAGCCCCTTTGAAGAAAGTTATGCAACAAAAAACTCTCTTCTTTCTAGGCACAAAATATTGTTACCCTTTACGAAACATTTATTTTTGGGGGGATCTGACTATGGAAGGGCTGCACAAATCTACAAATGTGACAGCCAACAGCTAGCCAAATATCTGAGTCCAAACCTAAGTCTTTGTTTCTTGTATTGTATTTGAGCATTAGTTGCCTGGCATTTGGTGTTTTAAAATAATATGGAAAAAATATTTGTAATATACATTAATATTTAGTGATAAATGCGGATTAATTATTCAATTAAATATTAAACATAAAAAGAATGCCTACTGATGTCTATTGCTAATAATAATTAATAATAATAAACCCTATGAATTGTTATGAACATGAATATTGATTGTTCATATGACTAAAAATACAAGTATGAGCCTGAGTAGGATATAACATTGCCATGTATTTGGAAGCTGAACAAAACTAAAACAAGAGTAATTAAATTATGTTGAGTGCAGAGGACCGTAAAGCAATCACTGTGCCAAAATCAAGCAAAAGGGAGAGAGAGCGTGAATCTGAAAAGCGGGACTGGATAATATAGCAAATTGTCGAAGAATGACTGATCTGCACAGAATAACTAACTCGTGTTTATAGGGACTTGTCCAACAAGGTCCTGAGCACTCTGGCCTTCATCCAGCAAAGCACTCAAGCTTAGTTTTACATATGTATTTAAGTGTTTTGCTGGTTTTCAGCCAGAATGCTCAGGACCTTGCAGAATGAAGCCATAAAAGTCTTGCATGAGTGTTACAGATCATTGTGGTTATCCTGCATTTCTGGATTTTGTATGTGTACTTCAGGTGCAGGTGAGAGATATGAAAAATGCATGTATCCAACAGCTTCCTTTTGCCTGTTAGATGCACCAACATAGGCACTTGAAAGATTTTGAGTTTCCAGATTATTGTAACATAGCATACACACATTTTCAGGATTTTGGGATTCAATTCATATCAAGCATATGACTTCTGAGTGCTCTGCCATTTCAGGTGTATACACCATCTTACTCCAACTAAAGGTGACAGGCAGGGCAGAATCAGATTTTTCTTATGGAATTGTGAAATTCATGATTGGCAAAGATGTGCAAGGATGGCTCTAAGGATGGAATTTTATGTATTGGGCAGCAGGCGATAATGTATGTTTCACTAATCACAAACCAGTTAGTTCAAGGTACCATGGAACTTTTCAATGACTTCTTCTGAGGTAGCTACTTGTAATCTGTGTTGGATTATGTAGATACTGTTTCCTATATCCTGGTGGTAAAAAACTGAAAAATTTAAAAAACTTGATAAGCGGCAGATGCAGGTAACAGTTAATTCCAAGGTGAGTTTTCTGCTTGCAATTTACAGTCTCCTCTATATCCTTATTTTTATATTATGTAAATCTGAATTGCATTTCATATTTGATTTTTGGTATGGTTTATCTGACATTACAAAACAAGAAAGAAGTAGAGAAGCGTTTATCTCAGTGCTATCTAGCCTGATTCAATCTGAGTTTGATGCAGTTGATGGACCTTTCAGAACTTTGGCTATGTTTTGCTTCTGAAAACAAGAGTGACAACATAAGTTTGAAAGAAAAGTTTTTAATACCATTCTTTGCCTATGATCAGTACTGAATAAAAACATTTGTATAATAATAACAGTTTGTGTTTAGGGTTTTTGTTTTGTTTTTGGTGTCTGTGATTGTACAGTGGAAAGAGAAACTATTTGAAGTTGTCAGTTTGTGAATTCAGCTGCTTATCTTGCCAGCTCCTGCCTGAAAGGCCTCCAGCTCATTTCTTTGTACCTCCTGTGGATAGCCATGTTTGCGAAGTGCATATTACATCTATGGGGGATCCTGGTTTAGGAAGTTTAACTGCAGTGCACTCCATGTTCATCATGTGTTCAGAAGGAAAGGGATATTGGTTCTTTTTCAGTTTGTGAGTATAATTCCCTAGGTAGAGGAAGGTGAGACATTCTAACCTTCCCATTTTAGACTAGAGTACACACTGCCAGTATAAATATGTTGTTTCCACCCTTCATTTCTTCCTCTACCAGCAAACCACCTCCCACTCCTCCACAACCAGAAAGCT